CTCTCTCCCCCTGTTCCCCCTCTCTCTCTCTTTCTGGCCTTCTCTCCCTCTCTCTATCTCTCTCCTCCCCCATTTAGGAGGCTCCAGTTTTCTTCCTCCTAAAGGCAGTTGTTTCCTCCCTGGGTCTCCTAGTGCTGCTCTTGGTGGAACTGTTGTTCTCCTGTAAATACTCAGAGTCTGAGCTGCTCTGTTTGGAAAGCTGTGAGATAATGTTGTTGGGATTTGGAGCTATGGGAATACAATTTTATTGAATTGTAAATAAATGAGCACGGATGGAAATGACTCTGTTTTCCAACGAGTCTTTATCTGCTCTGCGGCTTGTGGACCTTCAGGGAGAAGTCGGCCACGGGGCATCCCTGGGTGATGCACCCCAGGGAGATCACGTCCACGTGGGGGCCGCAGAACCCGGCCAGGTTCTCCGGGGTGACCCCCCCGCTGGCCTCGATCAGGAGCCCCGGGAACTGAACCTTCAGGGTCCGGGCGGCCGCCTGGAGCTCCTGTAGGGGAGGGAGAGGGGTGATGGACCAGGACCAGAGGGTTCTGGGTTTGAGTCCCGGGGGAACCAGGACCAGAGGGTTCTGGGTATGAGTCCCGGGGGAACCAGGACCAGAGGGTTATGGGTTCTAGTCCCAGGGGAACCAGGACCAGAGGGTTCTGGGTTGGAGTCCCCGGGGGAACCAGGACCAGAGGGTTCTGGGTTCTAGTCCCAGGGGAACCAGGACCAGAGGGTTCTGGGTTGGAGTCCCGGGGGAACCAGGACCAGAGGATTCTGGGTTGGAGTCCCGGGAGAACCAGGACCAGAGGGTTCTGGGTTGGAGTCCCGGGGGGAACCAGGACCAGAGGGTTCTGGGTCGGAGTTTTGTATTTGGAGCTTAGCATTGCTAGCCCATGTAGTAGCTAGCGTTAGCTAACAACTTGACACACAACAAACAAACGAATGTTACAGTCTGAATCACAGACTGGTTAGGGTCAGGGTTAGGGTTAGGGTTAGGGTTAGGGCTAGGGTTAGGGTTAGGGTTAGGGTTAGGGTTAGGGTTAGGGTTAGGGTTAGGTTAGTTAGGCCCCCCACCTGTGGGTGGAAGTTGTCCAGCATGACGATGTCGGCCCCGGCTGCTGCCGCCTCCCGGCCCTCCTCCACCGACCGGCACTCCACCTCCACCCGGCTGCTGAAGCCACACACGGAGCGGGCCGCCGCCACGGCCTGGACACACAGGCGGCCATTTTGGTTAGGTCATGTGACTTAGCAGCTTTCTGAGGTGGAAACGAAACTTTACTGTCTATACGAAATCGGAAGATAAACGATGTCCTAACCCTAACCCTCTAATTGTGAGAAATAAATTATTTTGGTTAAACTACCTACCTACCTACCTACCTACCTACCTACCTACCTACCTACCTACCTACCTACCTACCTACCTACCTACCTACCTACCTACCTACCTACCTACCTACCTACCTACCTACCTACCTACCTACCTACCTACCTACCTACCTACCTACCTATCCATCCATCCTTCTATCTATCCATCCATCCACCCACCTACCCATCCATCCATCCATCCATCCATCCATCCATCCATCCATCCATCCATCCACCCACCCACCTACCTACCTACCTACCTACCTACCTACCTACCTTCCTACCTACCTATCCATCTATCTATATATCTATCAATCAAAAAACCCTTTTAGAGGCAGATAAATCCTCCACCCTTGTATCCGTCTGGTGGTTCTCCCGTACCTCGGTGATGCTCCCTGATGCCCAGACGTGGTTATCCTTGATCATGACCATCCCGCTGAGGTCCATCCTGTGCGTGGACACGCCCCCCACCAGCATGGCGTACTTCTCCACCAGCCTGAACCCCGGCGTGGTTTTCCGGGTCCCGGCCACCTCCCCCTGCCACCCGGTGGCCCGGGCCGCGGCCCTCAGCCCGCAGCAGCGCGTGGCGATGCCCGAGGCCCGGGCCAGGCAGTTCAGGGCCGGCCGCTCCCCCAGGAGGAGGCCCCGCCCCGGGCCCCGCACCACCGCCACCAGGGTCACCGCCCCCGGGCCTGGGCAGGGGGGGCACAGTCAGGAGATCTTTATTTATTCATTTATTTATTTATTTATTTATTTATTTATTTACTTACTTACTTACTTACTTACTTACTTACTTACTTACTTACTTACTTA